ACATAAGGTCCTCTGGGCTCCACAACTCACCTGCCTCAGGTGAGTGGTTCCTGAGGGCACTGCCACCAAGGTGAGCAGGTAAGATACGTGCTCAGCCCACTGCTAGTGGAATAGAGACATGTGGGCCAGCTCTGGCCTGGCTTCTTCCTGGGCCCTGAAGCCTGAGATTAAGCCCTGGCCCTGGCCTGCAGTGCTGGGTTAGCCCTGCTCTGTCCCTGTGGCATCCATAACAGGCTTATGTGCCTAACTCTTAACCTCTTTACTGGGAACCTCAATGCAGCCAGAGGCAGAGGCCCAACACAGCCACCTTTCCTTCTGTTCTGTGCTACTTGGAATGAGCTCTGCTACCCCTGAACTGCTGAGGAAACATTTAGGCAGTAACAGGAGCCTTGGCCACCTGCCTTCCCTGCAAACACACAGCCACCTGGCTGCCCCTGCCCTCCATCTACCCTCAGAGACAGTGGCCCCACTACTGCCAGAGTTGGGGTGAGAGGCTGCTCTCACAGACTCCCAGATAGGCCTGAGAGGCCTTTAAAAATAGTGCCATCCAGTCCCTGATCCAGTGAGAGGATGGCTTTCAGCTTCTTGCCTACTCTCTTTTGTAACCTCTCGGACAGGGAGTTCACTTTGAAAATCTGAGATCTGCTCTAGTCCCACCTCATGGGGTCCCAGCCTGTTTAAGTCTCCCAGCACAGACTGCTCCCTCTCCAGGGCACCTAGTAGATCTTTGGGGTTGAGGTCAAGGATGTGAATCTCCTGTGTTCCCAGGCTTGCCCACAGTACCCTCAGATAATGAGGTTAGCAGGCCTCTCCCTGTCCTGGTTCTTGTGCTACATGGACTCTTGATACTGGCAAATTAATTCAAAGGAGCATTTTAGTAAAGCACAGCTGTATGCAAGGCTATACGCTGGGCATTGGGAACAGAGGGCCACCAACAAGATGTAAAGGTGAATTTTGTTTCAGACCTTCCCCCAGCAAGGCTTCATTCTGTATGGTGTGAGTCTAGCTGGGCCTATACACACACACACACACACACACACACACACACACACAAATGCATGCACATGCACACGCACACACATACACATGCATGCACATGTGTACACACATGCATTCATGTGCACACATACAAACGCATTATGGAGAATAACACATGGCGCGCGAGAGACTCTGAGGACAGGCTGAACCTAGTGACAGTACATACAACATGCAACGAAGCGTGTTCCTTACCCTGCCTGCCCTCAGCCCCGTCCACATCATGGTGAACCCAGGACTGCTTGAGGCTTTGCTCTGCTTCCAAAACAGTTTCAGCTGCCTCAAGTCCAGCCCCATGAGGGCTCTTCAGCAGAACCCAGTTGCCCCAGGCCCAGAGCTTTCGGCTGATGAGGGCTGGCAGCCCCTTCCAAGTTCCTGTTCGGTTTGCATTTCCCCCAGAGACACGGCCACTTAGAAACCTATAAATGCCTGGCAGGGCCCACAGCCCAGGCAAGTATATAAATTGGGACTTATAAAAGTCTAATGGTCCCCTCTGGACAGGCGAGAGAGGCATGTGCCAGAAGTCCTCAGGCAGGTCCAGGGCTCAAGTCTGAAGTTGTCCTGCAGACTGACAGGGCAGGGTGAGGCAGGTGGGGATCTGTGCTGAACTCCAACTCTGCTCAGATGCCTAGGAAAGGAGACTGCCCCCAGTTTTAGCCCTTTCCTCTGCAAAGTGGGCTACCACACTCAGCATGCCAAATAGAGCACAAAGCTGAAGGGGCCGCTTAGAATCAGCAGGAGTGGGATGCTTTTGAATTCCAACCCACCCCCACGGCTAACCCTATAACCCGTTATCTGACCTGCACTTTTGCACAAGACACATCCCTCTATGCCCATGGCTTCACTTGGATGCTCCAAGAGTTTATATGTATTTGTTATAGTCTTACTGTGCATGATATTCTGTGGAGGCCAATCCTTGCTCCCTTGTCTCTCCTGCTTCATTGACCTGTTTGCCAGGCAGGTAGCTAGCACCTGCTGTGTAAGAGGTACTGTGGAGTCTGTGCCTGGAAGGGAGGAGGGATATCAGGGCTGCCCTCTGGGGCCTGTCTTCTAGCCGGGCTCCAGCAGGCAGGCCCTGCCCTGCCCAGCAGAGGGGGTGTCCAAGTGCCTTCATTCTCTACCCTCCACAATGACTGGAGCAGGGGTGTGGAGATGTGGACCAGAATGGGGTCTCAGAAATTGCCTTTGGTCTGGATTTCCTGTGGCTAAATGAGAAAGGATGGGTCTTTTGCCTGGGACCTCTGTTCAAGGGTAACTCATGGACCCCCAAGGCTATCAGGAACTGGGGAGTTCTGTAGAGCAGGAGCCAGTCTGGGAAAATCCCTGGGCCTGGCCACAGAGGTTAGATGAGAAGGTCATAGTACCCAACATTCACCAGAGACTCTGGAAAGTGGAGCCTGGCTGAGGGACTGAGGGATGAAGCCATGCTCCAACCCCCACCCCTACCGAGCCTGCTGTGGCCACATAAAGATTTTCATGTGCTGGTTTTAACAGGAGGAAGAACATGAAGGCAAGGAAGGGGACTATGGGAGTAAACTGGACAGATGGGCAGGAGGAGAGACTGGAAGGGGAGGGGCACAGAGGAGAGCAACAGGAGACCTGTTCTTGGGCGGGGGAGATAGAATGAAAGAAGGGAGAGGAGGGCACATGACCCCCAGGGAGTCAGAGAGGAGAGTTGTGTGTTGGGGCCATCTCAGGACTACAGGGTGGTCACTTGGGAGGTCAGGTCTGGGTACTTCCCCGGTACCCTGGGCAGACTCACCCCCCTTGCTCTAAAGACCCCACAGGGCCTTCAGCATGTGACCTGTTCTCCCAACCCCAGTCCTCCATTGCTTTCCAGGCCCAGTGAGAAAACCCAGTCTACTGCACCTAAACCTGCAACCTGCCCTGTACGACAGTCCTACTTCCCTGCCATTTGGCGGCATGATGCTCCCAGGAGTGGTGGTAGGGAGGCCCCCGAACTCTGATATGAGGGACTGGGGAAGCTCTGGCTGGGGAAAGGTGCGCTGATGTCTGAGATATGGGGCCCTCTTGTGCTGTGCTCACCGTAGGGAGTCCCTACTGCACCACTAAGGGTACCCAGAACGGAAACAGGGAAGAATTCCATTGGCCTTGGCAGTCCCAGGCCTTTGGAGCTGCGCTCCACCCACCTCTCCACAGCTTGTCTTTTCTGTCTTTGTTTCTCGTGCTTTTGTCTTCTCCTCTCCATCTCTCTGCTCTGAAACTAAATGGGATCCAACTGCCAGCTCCCTGTGTGTTCCTGTGTGCTTGAGGCTCAGCCCTTTTCATTATTAATAGAAATATGTCCTCATTGTACAGTTTAATTCTGCTTATCTGGAGTGGATTAAGCTCTTACAATGACATGCAGTATTGATTCCTGAGCATCTCTGTTAAAGGGAATTTTGCCACAGCCTGATTAGTTCCATAAAATCAGTGGGGGATGGTGCAGTGGTTAGGGGACCCTGGGTGGGAGTCAGGGACCCCATGTGCTATGTGATTTGGGTCTCCCTCTCCTCACTGGAGGCCCAAACTGAGCTCAGAAGCCAGAGCTGACAGGGAGTGGTAGTCAGGGCACCCTGAAACTTCAAAGGGCCAGTGGCATAGTGTGTGAGAGCATGGGCTAGCTATGTTATGTGGTCAAGTTATTTCATCATTCCTGTTTCTTAATCTATACAATGGAGAAAGTGGCCCCCAGAGATGACAGGAAACTGTGATGAAGGGATGTGGCAGTGTGTTGCAGGAGGGAGAGGGCAACCCCCAGGCCCACCCCATGCCTGAAGGACACCTGAGAGCTGCCACCCAGTCTGGAGTGGGCTGGATGGAGGCTGCTTATCATGAGCAAGACCTGTTGTGGGGCACAATCTTGAGCCTGCCAACGATGGTGGGTACTTCATTGGCTGCAGCACCCATAGGGGCCCTGGATATAGCAGAACAGCCAGAGGGCAGAACACCTATTTCCTAGTGGGTTCTTGGAAAAACTCACATAGTTGGGGTGATTGAGGTGGCCCTAGATGACACAGGACCCAAGACTACAGTCTTGCTTGGCTAGGTGGCCTATGAGCCTCGATATCCCCCTCTGTGAAGGGGGTCAACTAGCTCTTTCCCTCTTACTCTATGTAAGTCAGTTGTGTAGAAGGAAGAGGTGTCCCTTGAGTTGGGGTAGGGTCCTGGTGGCTGCTCCTCAGCTGGGGAGAAGACCTTCCTCCCTAGGATGCTTCCAAGATCAGGGGAAGGCTAGCAAAATGTAGGTGAGCAGGGAACATGGCCTTCTGAGTCTCCCTTCAACAAGGAAGAGGCACAGCTTCTTTTCCTCAGATGGCACCTAAAGGAAGCCCACTGTCCAGGCCATCTGCACAGGCTAGATGCAGGCCTGATGTCTATGCCAGATACTGCAGAAAGGCAAGGTAGGAGAGCTAAGTAGGCCTTGGTGCCCTCAGGACTGGTCTCTTCTATGGGCTGTGGCTATTTGTGGGTATGGGGTCTCTTGGACACAGTGCCCTCTAAACCCCAGCTGGTCTGCAGGGACTCACTTTTGCAACCCCTGCTTTCTGAGGCCTTTGGGTCTCTGTCCCCAAAGAAGGCTTGCTCTGCCCCATGGCATCTATTTGCACATGGTTCAGGTAGCAGAGTTGAAGCTGGCTTCTCCACCAGCAGACGACAGATCAGCAACGGGCATCTGGAAAGGATGGACCAGCTCCATGATCAGTGCATGTGGGGCTGGGCAGTCATGGAGCCCCTCTTCCAGCCTTTCTACTCTCTTGTCCTGGGGATATCCCTACCTGGCTGTGCTGCTCTGGGATTGGAACTGGGGTCTGTTAAGAACCACAGTGTAGGATGGGGGACAGGTAACCATGGCTCCCATCCCAGAAGCCTCCCAGACTCTCGACTCTTTATTGCACTCCCCTAAGATCTTCTGAGTCTTGGCCTTTAGGCTGAATTTCAAAGCAGAAATAGGCCTCCATGTCTAGTTTCCAGTTTTTAATGTTTTTCTTGTAAAACCAAAAATATAAAACGGACAGGGGAATGGAAAACAAGTCAGGTACATTTTATATACACGAGGTCTGTGATTTGAAAACCATAGGGAGAAAAGGAGGAAGACGGTCATGGGACTGTCACAGGGCCACAATCCTTGGAGGCAGCTCTGAGCTCAAACAGCCCCTCTCTGTGCAGGCAAGTGCCCCTGTGATGTGGCCTGGCTGCCTCGTGTGATGTGGTTTGGGTGAAGCAGTGTCCATGAGCTGAGCAGGCAGGTGTAGCAGGCCTCCTTCAGGTGTCTGTGTAGATGGAAGGGATGTGACTCAGGCAGTGGTCAAAGGCCCCATTGGGGAAGAAGCCACAGTCCTCGGGGCCACTGGATACCAGGTCTTCAGATGGCTGTGGTGGCAGTGCTGTAGGACATGGGACTTCAGCCAGGGCCTCGTAGCCTGTGGGCAGATGGCAGAGGATCAGGGTGAAAGGATGGCAGAGGTTGAGCTGTGTCTCCCTTCTGCTCCAGGTTCCAATAAACCCATCTGGGGTCATTCCTCACATGTTCCCTCCATGGGCCCGCAGCTGGAGGAAGCTGGTGACTGGGTGGAGAGGCCCCCATGGAGGCTGGGAAGACAGGTAGATTGGTTTGGGGCATCCTCTCTCCAGTGCTGAAGAAAGGGAGGAAGAGATGGGAGGGTGGATGGGGTGGGAGTGTCATTGCTCCTACCCTTAGAGGTTGTCACCTCTTGGTGGAAGGACTCAGCTCCCCATCCTTTCAGGTTCCTCCCTCCTACAAGACTGAAGATACCCAAAAGACGGAGGGTACTTAGTAAGTGATCACTTAAGCCTAACTCACAACTTCACAGCAATCCTGTGACATGGGATTCATTATCCTATTTTATTTTTTTGAGACAGGGTCTCCCTGCAGCTCCAGCTGGTCTGGAACACATTATGTAGACCAGGAGACCAGGCTGGTCTTGAGCTCAGATACGCCTGCCTCTGCCTCCTGAGTGCTGGGATTAAAGATATGTGCCACTATGACTGGACACCATCCTATTTTAGAGTAAAAGGATTGGCTCAGAGAGGGGAGATATTTGTCCAAGGTCACACTGCTAGTAAGAAGGGGAGCTGGCATTTGAAGTCAGGTCCATCTGGCTCTGGGGACATCTTGCTTTTATGGTGGACATGTTATCTCCAGAGTGGGATCACTGCTCAGGGGCCTTTAACTGAGGAGGGACCTGGAAGGGCCACCTTAAGGGCTCTGTTCCTGAGCTGCCGTCATGGTCCCGGTGGCTTTGTTAAGTTAGCCCAGTGGGGTTGGGCTAACTGCTCTGAGGTCTTTTGTCCCCACCTGTTTGTTTAGTCTGGGACTACTGTCATCTCGATGGGAGGTGCTGGCAGTGAGGCAGCTGAGCGGTCCTGAAGAAGCCACTTGCCCTGGTGTCAGAGCAGGCTTTTCACACAAATTATTTTTTATGTATGTGTCGCCTGCTGTATGTATGTGCGTCACATACAGTGCCTATGGAGGTCAGAAGAGGGCATTAGATCTCCTGGAACTGGGATTACAGATGGTTGTTAGCTGCTATGTGTGTGCTGAGAACCAAACTCAGGTCCTCTGCAAGAGCAGCCAGTGCTCTTAACCACTGACCATCTCTCCAGCTTTGCTGCTAAACTAATAAAAATCCCCCTTTGGGTGGGGGATGGGAGCACGGGATGATGAGAGCCAGCAGTGTGGGCATAGAGGTAGTGCCTAATCACCAATCTGGATCACAAACAGGGTTCCCATAAATTCTTCCAGAGGACCACACACTGCACAGATTGTTCACACACAGTCCTGTCATGCATGTATATGACCCACATCCACTCACAGATGTATATATGCTGTATTCAAACACAGGACTATGTAAACACAAGCATGCTGACATGAAGCTGCTCAGTGTGCTCACATACATGTGCACAAGTACATCTGTCAAGCCAGATGTGAGTCTCAGGGTAGGTAACATCAATATAACCTGGTGAGTATGTGTGTGCCTGGGAGTTCCTCACACTGCCCAGAACTACCTGAGCCAGCTGTATAAGCACATATGCATGCAGATGTGCTCCATAACATGGGAAGGGTGAATCAGACATGGAGCAGGTATGTAACACATGGACATTCCCAATGATGGACCCACAGATCTGTTCTTGTCTGGGCTCTCTGCCCAGCTTATGGCCAGGTCCCTCTTCTCCTGCTGGGCTGCACACAGACTGCTCAAGAGCCCTCTGCAGAGTTTCAGCTTCCGCTTGATCTGAACCTTTCAGCCTCCACTAGACATGGATCGTGAGGCTGATTTGGGTGGAGGTTCTACCCACATATCTGCTGCCTTGAGCTCTTCTCTGCCTGCTGGACAGAGCCTGATTCCATCCTGGAACACATAGGATGAAACATCATTTAGACCATAAGCTACAGTCTAATTCTGAGGGTTGTCCAGTGAGGGTCCATGCTGGCTCTAGGGCTGGGCCTTGCTGAGCTATTGCCATCTTTACATGGGAGACCTTACCACAGAGCTGTTCAAAGACAGTGCATAAAGCCCCGACAGAGCTGGCCTCAGCAGTATTCAGAGAAGGGAGGCTTTGGGGCAGCTCACCTGGGGCAGGTAAAGGTGCACTGAGGCTTGGGTAGCCATTGGGTTGAAGGGGGCTGAAACCATGGGTATCACCCACCAGCCTATCCCCAGCAGGTGCCAGCTCTGTGGTCCGGTAGCAGTCACTGTAGGGGAAGCAGTTCTGGACGGAGTGGAAACTGCCCTGGTATCCTGTAGGAGGAGGCAAGGGATACGGTGATAGAGAGAAGTGCTAGAGTAGGAAGGGCCCAGCTCATGGCGGGGGATCAGCCCCCATGTTGTCAGGTCAAGCATCAAGGGTGTAAATGAGAACATAGGGAAAGGAGACAGGAGGGTAAGGTGTCTTACCTGTCAGAGGCCAGAGGCCCAGTGTGGCCCTCAGTGCTCAGCTTGCTATTCAGAGTATACACCTGCCTCCCTTAGGCCATATGTCAGTCCTCTTGGTCATAAACAGTTGGGAAGTGTACTTACCTTGTGGGCTGGGCAGAGGTGGTGGTGGTAGTGGGCTCTGGAAGGGTGGGTAGGTCGGCTTGCTGGGGAGCGTGGAGAAAGGCTGTCTCCTTGGAGACTGGCTCTGAGAGGATGGTGGCAGTGGTGGAGCCCCAAGCCCCTTCAGCGGGCTGATCATGGGTGAGAGGAAGCAGGGTCCCAGGCTAGAGAGAACAGACCACCATGAGCAGGCCAGCCAGGGCAGAGGCACAGCGATCTTGTTCTACTTCACACTAGTGTAGTGAACAGGGATCCTCTGCTTGGTCATGTTCCACAGCTCCATCACTATACTGCCATCTTCCACATGTTTAGGACATCACTGTTTGAAGTTCAAGAGCCAAGCCCTCTTTGAGTCTCTGTACTTAATATTTTCAGGCTTTCCTCAGAAGGCTGCCATGGGAGGACAGAGTTTTCCTCTATGTGAGGCCAACTGTGGAGGCCTGGGCACAAGCTAGGTGTCCTCACTGTCCATCCTCCTGGTAGAAGCTGGGCCAAGACATGGTAAGAAGAGATGCCTCCCTTCCTTCAGCTCTGCCTTGTCTCTCTCATCTGGGCATCCAAAACCAGCTGTGCCTTGTAGGGAGGACCAGCTCTGAGTCCTCTGAATCACTAGGGCCCAGCAAGGGGCCTGACATGTGGCAAACAATTGGACAACACCAACAATGAGGGTTTTTTTGTTGTCGTTGTTGAGTCAAGGTCTCATTATGTAGCCTGGGCTGCCCTTAACTTGCTATCCTTCTGCCTCAGTATCCTGAGTGTTGGCATTATAGGCATGTGCCAACATGCCCCCAAACAGGTAGGTTTCCAAACTTCTCAGCTCAAAACCTCATGGATGAACTGCAGGGTAGAAGCAAGCACAGATCTGAGGGGGAGGCACACTGGTCCTCAAAGTTTGTTTTCCCTGTCTCTACCCTGCCATAAATTTGCCTTTGCCACCTTCACAGTCAGTGAAATTAAACAGAACACAACTACACACAGCTGACATACAGGCTGAGCTGCTCTACTCCAACTGCAGGGAGGTCACCTGGAGCCCTCTCTTGAGCCAAGCAAGTGACTCCCACAGCAAATGCTTGAGCTTCAATTGGAACCTATAAAAGTTACCTCGGACCTCTCTGGCAGACCCAGGGCTCCATCAGGGTTGGGAAAGAAACCCACCAAATTCAGTGTCTCCTCTGAGCCAGGGTAAATACATTTGCTCATGAAGTCAGGCCCTCTTAGCATATTTTTGAGTGAATCAGATAATTCTGTCAAGCTATTTAAATGCCCCAGCAAACTGCTAGGGAGCCTCGGGTGGCTGGTCCGTGTTGATTTTGGCAAGAAGAGGAAGCTGGAAGGCCTTTCCTCCCATCTCTCCTCTGGGGCTGAAAAGAAATCCATTCAGGGGAGCCTAGGCTGTGTCAGCCGGGAGGCCCTTCTCTCCAGCAGGCATCAGGAACTAGGCGCCTGGTGGCTGGGGCCCACTCACGCCACCCCGCAGGCATCAGCCTGGGGATAGGAGGGCAGCCGTGCCGGGGTCCTATCTTGTCATCACTCTGCCTCTCACTACAGGCATTCTTGATAGGCACTTATATGGGTAGCAGGCAGGGGATGAATGAGGCTGAGCAGTGAGCCCAGGCCAGCATAGCAAAGGCCTCTGTGGTATGGTGACCTGTGGCTAGAGATGCTGAGGCTGGCTGCTGCATAAGCAGGTGTCTTGAGCTGGGGACAGAAGGCAGGGGCTACTGTGGAGGGAACCTGTTCCAGATGACACAATGCCAGGAAGGTGCAGGTGGTCCTCATTACATTCCTAAAGGAGGTTATTTTAATGCCTCTTAGAAAAGAGGGTCAGGGAGTACTCATGGTGTTGGGGACCCCTTTGTGCCCAGTTTGTAATCATAATCTTCCCCAGCCTGACTTCTGCACTCCCTGGGCCGTTCCCATATGTGCTATCCTCTCTCACCTAAACCAGGGTTTTCTGACTCCTGTTAAATTTGTGCTATGATTGCCTTCTAGGTTTGCCCCACTCATCTGGCCCCATATCAGGCTGCTATCTTATACCCCATGCTCTTTCCTGCCCCCACAGTCCAGTCCATGCAGCAGTCCTAGTCTAACCTTCAGGGTAGCCCCATGACTGGCCTTTTGTCTGGCCCCAGGGCTCTCTCCAGCTTAGCACCCAACACAATGGTTCTTTTCCCAGTGCACACCAAGCCTGCCTCTGTCCCTACTGCTCCTTCCTCTATCTGTCCACTTGCCCAACTCCAACCTCACCTTGGAGCCTGACTTAGCATACTTCCTGTGGGCAACCCTCCCCAACCCACTGGCTTCCTTTGTGGGCTTCCACTGCCCTTTCTGCTTCCTCCCTCAGAGAATCCCCCACCCCATTTGACCAAACTCTGAAGCCTGACCAGCAATGGCCCAGCATTGGGCCCAGGTAGAAGTGGTGAGCCACAGATTTGGTGGTGAGGCCAGATTGAACCTAGGTATAGACTGGCCAAGGCTGCAACCATGAGGAGAGAAGGCAGGAAAAGAGGAAGGAGCTGGGCCAGGCCTCAGGCAACAAATTTGATCAAGTCACTGCTGGTGATAAGCAAAAATGGTCAGGGGTTGGGGCTGAGCCTCCCTCTGTTCATGTGTGAGGATGACAAATTTCTGCAGTGGCATTAAGCCAAGCATGTTAAACCATGTCCAGCTAATAAGACAAGAAGCACATTGAACACAGTGATCCTGCTTAAGGCTCTGAGGGCTAGAGTGGGACCAGAGCTGGCTCATTCATGGGACATCTGGTACCAAATGTACAAAGGGCCATGGAGATGCTAGAAGGGGGATGCCGAGGAGCCTGGTTGGGACAGAATTTTCTCAGGGCCCTCTGTTGGGAGGAGGTAGGCAGCTGGAAGTCTTGGTGCCACTACTGCCCACCTCAAGTAGGGGGTCCCTGGGCGGCACCAATGACATCACACATGGAAAGTGATACAGAGCACAGGACCCAGTCAGATTCATAAATGTGGGCCCTGTCGTTATCAGTAACAACCAGATAGTGTGGAGCTCACTTGCCCCCCCCCCCACCTCCCACTAGGTGCCCAGATGTGTCCCCTGAGGACTGGCTTACTATACATACCCATCCTTGGTGCTTTCAGCCGTGGGCAGAGGGGACAGGTGGTGATGGGAACTAGTGGTGACCTCCAGCAGGTGATGCCTGGAAGGGACATCATATGAGGGGGACAGGATACCTGAAGTAAGCCCATTCTGGGGGGCGATGGAGCCAGGATATACACCTGCAGGAAACCAAACATCTGTCAGTGGGCTTTGGCCACTTCTTAGGGGTGGCTGTGAATGTCCTAGTGCTGTGATTGCCTGCTTATGGAGAGAACTACAAGGGTGATGTACTGATAGACCTTTAGGGACAAGAAAGGTATTAGCTCCACTCTGTTTGATTCTGGCCCTGGCTAACAGGGCTGGGGGCCACTGAGGTGGACTGTCAGAGGCATGGAATGGGCACACCTTGTATGTTTGAGGGGGGTGTCAGGGACTTATGGAACAGGTTGCTTCAAATCTCCATGGGGGCTATTCTTGAAAAGCAGGACATGACTCTGTACCCCCAGAAGCAAATGAGTACCTTGGAATGTAGAGAAGCTTGAGAGACATAGAAAGAAGTTCCAGACTTGACAGAACCTTCTAACAAGCTATTGCAGAACAGTGGGGCTGCCTTTGGAGAGACTGAACTACACCTCCTCAGACGTACACAAGCAGCAGAGGGGTATCCACTGTGAACAGTTCCAGAGAGAATGACAACATACTGGCCTGGACAGGCTGATCCTGGAGGCTCCCGAGAAGGTCTACAATGGGTAGTTGGTCAGGCTGTATCCTATAGTAGGGTCCTGATAGGAGTCAGCTGTGCTCTAGTCTCAGATTCTAAACTCTCAGAAGACACTTGTAAAGTAAACCACCTTTTATTGCCTCTACCCCTTGTTAACATAAGTGGACTAACAACCTAATGGGGACACTAGATCAGAGTTACACGTCGGTCCAGTCTGAGGACCACAGAGGTATAGCATTCCCAAGGAACCCGTCAGAAAAGAAAACGGATGCTCCTCTGGACAAGGGCCAGATGAGGGCACAGCAAGGCCTACAGTTTATTTTTTGGTCTTTTTGAGACAGAGTCTCCCTGTAGCCCCAGCTGGCCTGGCAATTGCTATATAGAGCAGGCTGGCCTTGATCTTACAGAGATCCTCCTGCCTCTGCCTCCCGAGTGCTAATACTAACTACAGTTTGTTTTGAGGTGCTAATGATGACATTCAGGTTCCACTAATCACACCGTCAACTCAAGGGTGAAATGTTTTGGATGCTCCATAAAAAAAAAAGGGACCTGTTTTGCCTTCCTCAATAATCTAGCATGCTTATTTGAATATAAACTGCTATTACTTTTCTTGAAATCAGTGCATCGAGGTAACGTCCCAGGAGGGCTCTGGCCTCAGAGCTGTGCTCTCAGTTGCACTGGTGTAGTCTCCACCAACTGGTCAGTCACTCCCCTGCCAGATGATATCTCTTGAATGTTGCTCTGGTCACTATCACCCCTTAAAGGCCAGTCTGAGAACAATCAGGCTCTTTCCAAGGTGGGCTTAGCTGGTTAGCATCTTAAGGTTAGTTCATTCCAGGCTGGTCCTTCTGACAAGAACTTACAGTAGGCTGCTACAGGGAACTGAGTGGGGCTGGGCTGCAAGCCCAATGACTAAGGCAGCATCAGGGGGTCATGAAGACTGTGGCCTCAAAGGCCTTTAAGCTGACTGCTAGACAGCAGCACTAGGACTTGAAGACCACATAGCTTGAAACTCCTGGTGGTGCCCGTGGCTAAGTGACTTTAGGCAAGTACCATTCTTAAGCCATTGTGGCATTAAGTATGGTATTATGCACCAAACTTTCTCCACATACCTAGTCTGACACCTCAGTAACTGGACAGTCCATTTTAAGACAAAGAAATTCAGCCTCAAAAAAATAAAGGACTTGCAGAACATCATGCAGGGGACAGAGAACCAGGCCTGTCTCCTGGGCCATATGGAAAGGGTACATGTTTGAGGCAGGGGTTCTGGCTGAGGCTGGGGTCTAGAATGGCTCCACAACAGCTGGTCATGAGCCCCCAGACTCTGGACATCCTCCAAACACCCTGAAGCTGTCCTCCCCAGTACTGTCCTCCCTGTCTCAGGGACTTCTACCACTAGGGACAGCACTACTGTCATCCATCGTTGCATGCCCTGGCCACACGTCCTCCTAGTTTGGTCAGGTGGCACCTGGAGGTGAAGGTTGTGGAAGGAGCCTAGCTTAGTACTACTCAGCCTGCGCCACTCAGCACTCTCCTCAGGACCTCCTTGCTTGCCATCTTGAACCAATTTGGGGGCCTGACAGCTGGGAAAGCTGGAATGCTGATAAGTTCCTCTGCCATACTGACCTCAAGCTTCTCATGTCCTCACTACCCATCATGGCACCCTGCAGCAGCTGAAGACAGACCTGCTAAAGAGTCCACTCTCAGGATCAGTGACAAGCTTATGTCATCACTTGCTTGCCTCTCTCTTTTGGACTCTTCTGACCTTCGCAGAATCTGTCCCCTGCCTTTGCTGTTGCCCTGGCCCAGGCCTCTGCCTATATGGTGCCAGATGGATACATGACTGTAACCCAGTTTGTGCACAAACAGTGATGGGGATGAAAGAATCATGAGATTGTGAAGGGCTGTTGGAGTGGGGATCAGGCCTGCTGGCCTCCCCAAACCACACCACTTCAGGATGTAAAGCAGCACCATCAATCATCAGCCCTATGTGCTTAACCTCTGGCTCCAACATCTGTTCCCAACTGTGCCTTAGGTGTCTTTATGCAGCTCTGCTCCAGGGAGCCCAGTGCCCCTGGATAAGCCTGGTGGGACCATTCCTCCTCCTCACTGCAGTGGAGGGCTGGGATCAGCAGAACGGGTACACAGTAGGTGCTTTGAAGAATTATGTGGGGTGGCCTTAGCAAGAAGCAAGAAATGTAGAGTGTGACCTCAGGTACACAGCATGTTTGGGTCCTACTCTCTTCTTCCTGGGAAGGCTGGCAAACTGACAGGGGCAGGCTCTGCATAGTTGCTTGGAGGGAAACTGAGGAAGACTCTACTTCCTCACTGCCTCAAGCCAGAGCAGGAGGTATGGACTTGGCCTCAGACCCTTCCACCTGTGACTCTGCTCTGGGGATGTGTTGCTCACTAATTTGGTTTACAGCTGGGGACTGAACAAGATGGTGTCTGTTAAGAGAGATGGTGATGGCTGTCCCTGCCTCTCTGGGAGGAAAAGGAGGCACCTAAGCTGAACCTGCTGCTGATTGGATGGCCTGGGGTTAGTCCTTTTGGCCTGCTAAGTACTCTCAAGGTAGTCATGTGGGGGGCTATAGGACCAGCCCCAACCAGTGAGAGCCTCTCTCCATGAGTCCTCTGCTCAGCCCCTTCCTGTCCTGTCCAGTGCTACAGTTTTGGGATCTGGGGTACCTAAGTGGAGGGGAAAGGCATATCTCTTCTCCCTGGTGCCCACATTGGGGTATCTTTACCCAAAGGCCTGAGGATGGGTGAAAACCTGCTCTTGACAAAGCTGACAGTAAGGGCCCTGGCATATTTTAAAGTCTGCTGCTACTTCAATGTTGGAAAAGAATGAAATTAGAAAATAAAAAATGCTTTAAATGGTTGGAGTAATTCAAGAAATCCCCAAGGGCGGCCGAGCTCTCTGTTCTGAGGCTGTGGTTTCCTGGGGGAGCAGGGGTGGGAGGCACAGCATTAAGAACCATCAGCTGAATCTAAAGGCCATGCTGCCCTCATCTGGGCTGTTCCCAAGCCATGAGATCAGAATTTCTACCTTGGCCTGGGTGTGCTTGGACAAGCAAGCTGCCTTGGCTGAACCAGTGGCTCTACCTGTTGGCCAATGGGCCTGCAGGGTCAGGCCCAGGGAGCCCCACACTGGGCCACAGAGCTCAGTGATAAGCAGGATGTGGTTTCAGCCAAGCTGCTCAACCTCTCAGAACCTTGGTTTTCTCTTTTAAAGGAGTCATGCTGGGCACTGAACAGGGCTTCGAGTCCAGGCTGGAACTGTACTGGTGCGTCTCAAAGGAGTAATTTCTTGCAGGGAACTATATAGATGGGTCAAGAGGAAGAGCCTGGCTTATACCCAGGGGTGTGGACTCTGTTCACAGTGTTCCAGATAGGGCCACATGTCCCCTGAACCTGGCTTTGTGTGTACCCCAAGATGAATACTGCTGACTTTGGGGAAAAGCAGACCCAAGCCTATCCGAGAGGAGCTCCCAGCCACAGGTGGGGAGACAGAAGGGAAACTGTGATAGACCAGAGGAAGACTTCCTAGAAGAAGGGACAAGGAGGCAGGTCCTGAGGGCAGGGTAGGAACCCTTGTAAAGGAAGGGGAGAGTGCTTAACAAGGTATATACAGAGGCTTAGATGGCATTCCAGGAGCTGCATCCAGGAGGTCTTAGGGCCAGGTTGAAGGAGTGGGCTTCATTTCATGGCAACAGGGAGTTATGGAGGAATGCTCAGGAGAGTCTACCTACTTAGCGGAGCTGTAAGGAGCAGAAAGATTGATATCTCCTGAGACAACCCTTCCCCCGCTGCAAAAAGTCCAAGGGAACAGGCATCTTGTAATAAGTCTTGCCTATGTGGCTTCAGGTCCACAGAGCACCAGTGTTCTCTTGAGGGTGAGGATGCTTGGCAGAGGAAGAGCCGCCTCAGCTGTGCCCTGGCCCTGCCTTATGCACGCATACCTGGGAGCAGTTCCTGGCTCAGGGTCCGGCCACTCTTTCCCCTGCTGGTAGGCAAAGGAGTGGATGCATGGAGTTGCTGTAGGACCAGACACTCAGACAGGACGTCAGCCTCAGGATCAGCACCTGTGTGCAGCTGGAGAGCAAGCAGTGGGGACGTGAGTGTGAGACCACCTGCCCACATGTACCCCTTGCTTCAGGGGACAAGGCAGGAAATGCAGCAGCCTGGGTAAGCCCCTTTTTGCTGTACTGGTTTCCTCATCTGTAAAGTGGGCTAATGGGCATTGAATGAACCTCTGAGAAGCAGATGCCCACACAAGATTTGACATGCAAGGATTTTGCTAGAGGATGATCCTGAGAGACAGGCTGGCCTATCAGGCTAGAGTCAGGGATCTTGTCTTTTTTGGGAGGGTTCCTCTCACAGTCCCTGAGGGAGCAGCCCTCAAGTTGTAGCCTCAGCACAAACTAGGTGATGAGGAGATGGCCAAGTGTAGCTACTAGGTCTTTGTAGCAGCCATGAGGGAGACCTGTGGTGGTGGGAATTAGGTCCTTTAGGTATACAGAGTCTGTCCCTTTCCCCCTCTGTCCATCTGCCTTCCTTGTCAGTACGAGGAGAACTGGAAAGAATCCAGGGCTGGTCACCAAGGAGCTGGACTGAAGTTGCATGCCATCTCTGACACACATCCCTGTGTGTCAGTGGACAAATAATCCAACTTCTATGTGTCTCACCCACTGAGCCTATATTCTACAGCTGTGACCTCTGCCATTGAAGGCTCTGGGCAGTGGTGAGCCAATGGGTGAAAAGATGATTTGTGAAGTACTCTATGTAGGGCTGCCTGGCCGCCAGCTGCCAGACTCCCACATGGTTACATAATGGTGGGCTAGTGATCACTGTGTGGACCTGAGGTATCTGGCTAGCAGCAAAACCTAAGCTGGTATGCTTTGACCAACACTCCTTGCAAACAGGTACCTTGGAGTATCTTTACTTCTCCAGATGGAGCAAGAGTAGGAACAGGGTGGGGCTCTCAGGATACTGGGTGACAATGGCGCAGGCACATGCTGGGGGGGGGTATCTACCTTTTCCAAAGGAAATCCCAAAGCTTGGCAAAGGTAGAGGCCCTGGAGACTAGTTTGTTCAAATGTTTGTTCTACCAGGACAAAACAGGCACAGAGAAGGCTAGAGCCTTGCCCCATGTCCCTGGGCATTTGAGAGTCAATCCTGAGGGGTTTTTCCACCCTCCCACGCTGACTGGGCTGGGGAAGCCATGCCAGCCTTGCCCCAGAGCCTGACCAGGCAGCTGTTTTCCATGTAAATGAAGTTTCTGGCAAAAGAGGGCCAAGACATGTTCTTGCAGACCGCAATGTCGATTGGATTAGGAACAGCAGGAGAGGAGAATTAAGGAAGAAAAGCATTTCTAATTCTCTCTGAAATGCAGCGGGACTGCCAAGGACTTGTCATAATACAAGGGTCGCTTTACCCAGAAAGATCCATCATTCCTGATGACTCTAATGGATGCTTATTGTTAGGAAGTTTGCAAATCTGTGGCCCAGGTCCCTGGGGGCTCAATGTGAACCAAGCATGGGCCTGGGAAAGCCAGGGCAGGATTTTGGTCCTCAGGCACCAGTCCACTTGGGGACGGCAGCCTCCCTGGCACCTGGCCCTAACTTACGGAAGCCTGAGTGATCCTCTCTGAGGCCCCTCCACCAAGGGCAGTGTAGAATCTGGGGTGTCTGGAGACAGGTGGGTCTGGAACAGATTCTAACTTTGTCTCTTCTGGGCTGCATGACTGGGCTGTTTTGTTAGCTCTCAGAGCCTCAGTTCCTACATCTCTAAAATGGGCATAAAATAGGGCCTACTTTTAGGATGGCAGGGAAAGGTGAACGGCTACAGTATGTGAAGCAGCAGGTATAGCATCTGAGCTGAGGAACAACCGGGTTAAAGCCCAGCCCACTTCTCAGGGTGAATTAAGGAGGCAGTGTGTGCACCAGTGAGCCTACTGGACATTCTCTGACTCTGCTCTACTCTTCCAGTGGCTCTCAACTGCCTGCAGAATGGAGATCCAGTCCCTCAGCCCCTAGTCTTCTTCATTATGAGTTCTGCTTGCTCCTGACACCCTGTCCCTATCTGCCCATTCCATGGGACAGTAGCAGTCTGCTCTCCCAGCCTGCAGGGCTTTCCTGTTTTATTCACAGCAGTGTCACAGTGTGTGGAAGAAGTATGCACTCCATTGATTGAATAGATGAACGGGCTCTTGTCTATGTCTTTTCACCATGTTGGCACTCCTGTACTGGCTTCTGCCATTCTCTTCACTCCCACAGCCTCTCTGCTCTCAAGTACCCCTACTCCCATGGTTCCTTGAACCCAGGCCAGGGGGCTCTGTCCCATGTTTCTGTACTGTCCTTCTGCAAGGCCTGGAGCTCTCATATTGCTGATCCCAAATGGAACTATTGCTGGCTTTCTCCTGAAAACTTTCTCTTCAGGTGAAGGGTACCACTGTCTATCCTGTCCCTGGGATGCCTGCTGCTCCCCTTCCCATCCCAGCCCCTCTCCTGTCTCCTTCATTTCATCCTGGGCCACTTCCACCATTTCCCTTGCTCTTGGTTCTGGCCTCCCACCTCACATTTCACTGTTTTCCACTCAGCTCCAGAGGCATCTCTGAAGTCTGTACCCATTTTGGTCCCTTGATGGCACTGATTGTCCTCAGAGCACAACTCAACTTCTGGGCATGAATTCTAGCATGTAGTGACTGCCCAGTCAGGGATAGATGTGTGTGCATTGCCCAACCCGCCCCCCCACACACAATGGGTCATCCCAGGCACACTCTCCTTTCCTCAATTCACCTGCCCATACTTACTCCTGCTTCAAGATGAATGGCAGTGTACGCCCCTCCTGAGTGTGTGAATCTGTGCCAGGCAGTCTCCACCATCGATATATATCCTCTCACTGAATCCTCACTAGTGCCCCTTAAAGTGGTCCTCAATTCCCCTATTCCAGTTGAGAAGAGAAAGCACAGAGGCCTGAGGCCACCAAACAGGCAGTGGCAAGCCCTTCAGGTGGTCCCAGAGCTCACAACCCTAACCACTCTCCTCTTCTACGGCTCCTGGTACTTCTTCCTGGGACCCTCCTGCTTCCATGCAGATAGGCCAACTCCCCTGCTGTCATCCTTACCATACGGCAAGGAGCTTCCTCTTGATGTCTGTCTCTTGCCATTGGAAGTAGATACCATGCTGTGGTGGCTAATTTTGGTTGTCAACTTGACACACCTGGGAAAAGGGAACCTCAATTGAATTGCCTCCATCAGACTGGCCTATGGGCTTGTCTGTGGGGTATTTTCTTAATTGTTAATTGATGTAGGAGGGCCCAGCCCACGGTATACCATCCTTGGGCAGGTGGACCTGAGTTGTACAAGAAAGGTAACTAAGCAAGCCAGAGGAAGTAAGCCAGTAAACAATGTTCCTCCATGGTCTCTGCTTCAGTTCCTGCCTCCAGGTTCCTTCTTGTGTTCCTACCCTGACTTCCCTTGATGATGGATGGTCTATAACCTGTAAGTCAAATAAATTCTTTCCTGCCTTAAGTTCTTTTTGGTCAGTGTGTATCCCAGCAACAAGAGAGCAAACGAGGACACATGCCTTTGGTTTTGCACCTGCAGTGCCTAGCCCAGGGCTGAGCTTCAGTGCCATGGTGAAGGGCTGATAGAGGGAGAGGTACAGGGGGCCAGTCTGAGGGGGTAGATGTCTGGGCAGTTGGGGTGATGAGGATTGTGGCTGACAGACATGCTCAGGAATTGGGTAAGAAGCAGATAGACAGGCAGATGGAAGAACAGTGACATTCATAGGTGTATAGAGACGTATACACAGGTAGTGTGGGTACCTAGCATTATACTGGACAACTGGCTGGGATTAGGGGTGTCTGTAGAGGTGGGACCAGCTGCACAACCACCTTACCTTCTTATGTACCTGCTGCTCTTTGGCTGAGTGGGCCTTCACGTGCTTGCGGAGGGAGCTGGGGTCCGTGTAGCGCTTGGAGCAGCCAGGAATCTGACAAGCGTATGGCTTCTGTAACATCAGAGGGGCATGAGGGATGATGAGGGGTCACCACCATTCAGAAGGGTCAAGATACCTTATGTGACCTGCTGTGGGGAGGATGAGTGGACAAGGTACAGGCTGCAGTCTACAAGTGAGGGGAAGGCACCTGGCCTAGGAGTGAAGGAGAGGCTTTGTAGCCCCATTTTGCCACTATGCTGGGACCTCAGGTGAGTCGCCTCCTCTGCAAAAGGGGACTGACTGAGCTCTACAGGTCTTTCCAGCTGACCCTGGCTGTGACAACGGTGCTCTTGTCTCATGGCTACACAAAAACTGTGCTGTGAACAGGGGTACCCAAGAGGCTGCCCTGGGCAGGAAGAAGAGGAGAGTTAAGATGTGATGGCCCAAGGATACCCTGGGGACTGACCTCTCCTATTAGGCAGATAAGGGTGGCACTATGGGCCACAGTAACCAAGGTCCTTCTCCTAACAACTATGGGAGGCCAGACAGCTGGCCTCAGAGGGTACAGTCTGGGAGAGTGGTGGTAAGGGGCTGAAGACCATGCTTTCTGCATGGGGTAGGGGCCATTTCTTTGCCTGTGACCTCCCACTGCTCCAGAAGTCCAATAGGCTTAGGAGCCTAAGACAGTTCTTTGCCTCTGCTTAGACTACTGCCTCAGGCTCTTCCCAGTCTCCCAAGTCCCCTTACATTTAGAGCCTTAAGGCCTTTGTCACAGAGCTACAGTGATTCTGTCTCTGCATACTCCTCCATAGCCCTCTGGTGGTCAGAACCTAGGTCATTGCCTGTCACTGACTGGGGTCCTCCTCCTGTCCTTGTCCCCACCCTTACCCCACAATGCCCCCTCCCCCCACCTCTCACCTCTCTCACCCAACCCGCATTACCTCATCAGCCTTGCTCAGAGCCTGCATAGGCTTGAGATTCCCACTGACAGCACTGCCTACCCTGTGTTGCTGGGTCTGCTCAGTGTCCCTCTGCTCCACCAGAGGGACCTATCTCATCCAGCCCAGGTTTCAGAAGACCAGGGCAGGGGACTCATGGCTCTGTCTGCATTCACAGGTCAGGGGATGCCACAAGACCCTGCTTGGGGTCCCCAGCTGCTACTGGGGCATGAAGTTCACAAGGCTCCCCCCGCCCCCCTTTTTAACACACTGAGAGCTTTAGAGCCCTGGGAACTGCCTCTTGGTACTGCAGAGGATGAAAGAGTGTTTCAAGGAATGGCACCTCTCAGACTAAGTCCCAAGGACTTCCATGTCCAGTCAGACACACCAAATGGAGCTGTGCCAAAAAGGCAACTCTGCCCCAACCAGAGGTGGGAAGGCTAAGTGGGAGAAGTGTTCGCAGACCAGGGGTCTTGTGGGGAGAAGCAGAGAGAGACAACTATAACCATACCTTAGAGCTGCCACGGAGGTTGCTAGGTTAAAGAATGGAGGAGAGCAAAAAGAGAGAGACAGTGGTAAGAAGTTGACTAGGCCAATAGGAAGACAGGGGAGGGAGTGGGAGGCTTATTTTGGACTGCCCACCACCTGCCCCAGCATGTGAGTCCCACATATGTCTCTTGCATGAGACCTGACTTCCA